CCCCTTTAAAAATGCTAAAAGATTTTCTGACTTTCCGTTCCAAATTAGTAGGCCATCCACTTTGAACACAGCCACAATATTGCATTCAACAGAGACACATCTTCCACCCCCGAATATTTATTGTGATATGCTGGGAAGAGAAGATTTCTCTTGAATTATTTATTCTTCCTGGCAGCCCATGGCCAACAAGAAACCCCAAGCATAATTAGCCAAGCAGATAGCCATTCATTCCCCTCCCCTGCCTGGTGAGAGACGATCCACTGCCAGAAGAGCAGGGAGCAACAGCAGAGTCTCTGCACTATTTTAGGAATAACTGGGCAGAATGAATTGGCAAAAGGAACTTGGCTGTAGATGCAAAACAACATAGCTTATTCTCGGGGAAAAAAAATCCGTCATTGCATTTAACAAGTTTCCTCTTGTCCTTTAAGAATGTCACTTTGAAAGCCCATCAAAGTGGCCGTTCTTAGCTGCATGACATCTTTGCACGTATTAAAAGAGGGCTGGTTTTTTGTGACAAAAGCACTACAAGAGATTAAAAAAATGCTTTTGATCTAGGGCCATAACAAAAATCACATACCTTTTCTTGTGAAACGGTGAGCTGCGTTTTCAGTGTTTGACTCTGCTGTTCCCAGGACTTCTGTTCCTGCTTCAAGCTGCCAATTGCATTCTCTAAGCAGCTTACTTTAGCTACCTGAAATAAGATTACATCGGTAAGCCTGACTCATTCAGGATTTTCTTTAACTCAATTTGACTTCGAGAGTTAAGCTAGAGGGAGTTACAGCTACGCAGAGAAAACGCAGGAGAGCAAAAAACCCCCCAGCTCCCAGCCCGAATCTCCACACAACAGGATCATTATTTATAGTGCGCATATTAGTTACACTGCTCGAGTTCAGAGTTACAATATGTTAGAGTTGCAATAAAAGTGCAAGAACACTGTCTTCCTTGTCGAGCTGCAATATTTATATCCAGGCCTCTGTTCCTTGCAATGTTTGGAATTTTCTACATCAAATTACAGTAAAGCTGTGCTCCAGAATTTAAGCTTTCTCTTCAAGACCAGCTAGGAAAAAAAGGCAGTGGCAATTAAGCCGTTATCTGGCTTGAAGATAAGAAAAAAAAAAATCCAGAGTAGTTTTACAAATTAGGGTGATACAGTTAATGATGTAAGAATTTTAACAGCCCGTTACAGCATGTAGGTAGTGATGTGGATTTGCAGTTCTTTCTTACCTTATCAATACATCTGTTTAATTCCTCACTCAGGGCTTCTTTTTCTTTCTGCAGCTTTTCATTCTTAGTAATTAAGCTCGAAACTTCATTTTGAAGGTCAGAGAGATCAGGACATCTGGGCAGCTGTGGAAAACAAACCCCTCACAGCTGCATTTCTGTGTCGTTTCCGAATTTTGCATGCAAGTATTACACAAAGCTTTCTCTTCTCCTCCGGGCCAAGCATCCCACTCTGGATAGAGTGGAAGAGAGGAGCATACTGCAGTTTGGTACGAATGACCATACGAGTATCGTTCATATGATCCAGGGCATCCTTCCTGCAACAGCAGTGCTAAGGATTCCTAATTGCCCTGTGATCCCTTGGATTTGCTTTAGGGCTGGTCTTTTCTCTGCTTCTTTGGTGAAAGGGGAAAAATAATATTGTACTGCTGACTTCTGATCCTTTTCCCGTTTGACACAGTGCTTTAGCTTAACACTCTGCCTTCTCCTGTGCTGTTCTGTCTTTGCTCACTCAATCTTCTGTCTTTAATTACTCAAGCCACAATCCACTCTTTACTGAATAGGCCTCATCTGCTTTTGCTTTTTAAGACCGTTATCTATCCTAAGCATTGGGTGCATCAAACGAGTGCTTTACACTGTAAAGAAAATTACTTTGTGGAGCCCTAATCAGGAGAGCTAACTCATTTGTAGCCTTCATTATCTATGTTTATTAGCATATATTTACGGCCAACTGAACCATGCTTATACAGGCGATAACCAAGCCCTCCAGGAAATTACCCTCAGAAGTTGAGACATTGAAGTCTCCAGATAGGTTTAGCAATAGGAATTGTCTCCAAAAGGACATGCTGGAAGATACCAGTCCTTAAATGGAGCTATATGGGTATCACCAGTTACACAGGAAAATGTTCCTCTGCCTATCCCGTCTGCACAAACTAGAAAAGCCCTGTCTACTCCTTGATTAGAGCTTTAAATCTTTGTCTTCATTGTCAAAGCCTGTCTTTGTAGAATCACTACTCTGGAAGACCTTTTCACAAAGGCTAAGTGAAACCAACCTTATTTGAACAATCGTGCATTGTACCCGGATACTGTTTCAACAGGATTTATATTCCTCTACTGTTATGACCTTTCTTTAAAGAAATTAACTATTTCCAACTCGGGCAAGAGACAGCCAGCATCATCTGCTGGCACTCAATAGGATGCCATTACCTGTTTTGTCTTCTCGAGTTCCTGCTTGAGGATGTGGTTCTCCTGCTCCAATATATGAGCTTGAATCTTCATTTTTGACAGCTCCATCTCCAAGGACGACACCATATTGGATGACTGCAAAAAGTAAAAGGCTCAGATTTCAACTTGGGAGACACGCAGAGTAACAGAGGTTAATCAGAGGATGCTGCAGCCAGTGACATGGGCTAGAGCTGGGATGGCACTGGACTGAACAGAACAGGCATGCTGGAAAATGCAGGTAAATATTTAGCATCACTAAGCTCCATTTTTAAGACAAACCTGCACCTTCCTTCCACCCCCACTGCTGCATGCATGTACGTTTGCAGCTAGTACTTTGGGAAGTTCAGCTTTGAAAGACCACGCACAGCTCAAGAAGGGGATACTAATTCCATAGCACCTGTGCATTCCTAAAAGTTCAATTGTTTCATACCGTTAGAGACAGTGGAATCCCGTACCTTTACTTTGGAGTTTTCCAATTCCTCTTTCAGTGCCAGTCTCTCCTTTTCCCATTCTTCCAGGGTACATTTTCCCGCTTCCCTTTCCTTTTGCTTGAGCACCCTTGCCAGCTGTTGATTGAGATCCTGCACGTCTGCTTGATTTTTGGAGTTCCTTTGGCTAAGTTCTGTATTTTCAGAGTCCAGCTGCTGGTTTCTGGTTTTCAGATCTACTACCTGAATCGGGACAGCAGCGTCAGTTATGACTGCTTTTACACTGGAGATGAAGTTTTTAAAACATTTCCTTTCTATTAAGATGATTAAAAAACCTGACAAAGTGTCACTCCAATTCACTGGTGACTCTGAATGGTGAGGCATAGCTGTTAACTGCACTCTATGTACTGTCATGACCCCAGTAGCACTGCTTTCTTTATTTCCCTATAGCTATTTAACTTGCTCCGTGCCCTAATTTTAGGCCAAATCAAGTAGAACCATATTTAGGAGTAGGAGTCCTCCTGATGGCCTGCTGCGTGCATGGTCAGCCTCACAAACTGTTCATTTCTCATAATTGGCCTCAATTATATCAGTTATGGTATCAGTCATCTGGCACACCACTCTGTTCATCCTTCCCTTCGCCGTGCTGATGTATACTTTGAGGGTTATGCTGGTGAGCTAGTAGATTATTCTGAGCAAGTAGAATTTTACTAAGCGATAGTAAGAGGGACATGAATGTAAGAGCTACTTAAACCTTCTACTTTGCCTAGCATAACAAACCACCCTTAAAATAAAAGTAGCAGTCTCATGGATACGAGCAAAGGATCACAGCTGGCAGCATTCCTAGACCCAGCTAGCTGGGAAATAAGGAGATGCTTATTTCTGTTTCCCATGGGCTACTGCAAAGCATTACCCACAAAGACTACAAAAGAAAGTCTTTTAATGTTTTATTTCTATTAAATAAACTTTCCAAGTTGACTATGGAAAGTGCTCTCAAGCCTGTAAGCTAGATAGTTACAGTAGGGTTGCAGTTGTCTTCTGATCACATCGAACAAGCCTGATATCAATCCCAAAGAGTTAATGAGAACAGTTATCAAAAAGTTTAAGTGTATACAATAGTCATTTTCTACTGCCTTTGTGACCGTCTAAGGAACAGCTTTTATACAGTGATGATTTCTCCAGAGAAGGTTATGGGCTCAGTCCGTATACCTGCTTCTTCAGGTTGTCAACCATCTTCTGTACAGCTATTTTCTCCTTTCTCACAGCCTCTATCTTTTGCCTAAGGAAAAAATGAAAGCTCATTAACATTGGGGTCACTTGTTAATATACATGCCTCCAAGAATGGGCTGGGTTTTGACATCACCAGAAATGGTAATTCTGGATATTTATTTATTGCTTAGCATCACTGTTTTGCATAGGCTTGGCAAGTGCTCAGTTCCTCAAAGTACCCCACGTAGTTCTTTTCTAGAAGGGAACAATACTCCCAGGATCATGGATGGTCATCTACCTGTAAAAGACCAAATCACGCTGTACCTCTTCCTGCCTTTTCCAAGGCTGCGCCAGCCCAACAAGCTCTGCCTTTGCTGGAGCAAGAAGAGTTGCATCAGGTCAGCTCATAAGCAGGTCCTGTGTTTGTATGTGTCACTGGGTCATCTGAACTCCTACAGTTAAGCCCCTGCTTTGGCTCTAGGAATGGGCAGGACAAGCTGGGGCAGGTGAAAAGGATGAGGAATAGACTGTCAGCCAGCTGGATGTCCAATGGCACCATGAAATAAGCTCGTTTCAAATTTCGTAGAATATCTAACACGCGAAGGAGCTTTGAGAGAAGGGACGTAACCATCATGTCTGCACCGCAGCGAGAGCCTGAAGGCATACACATGGTACGTGCCCCATTGAATTCTTACCACATTTCTTCTCGGGATCCATTTAGCTCCCTCAGTTTCAGGCTGGAAGCACTGCCTTCCTCATTTAATAAAGTCACTTCATTTTTCAGAATAGCATTTTCTTCTCTGAGCTTCTCGGCTTCACATCTGTGGCAGAGAGACGAGACAAGTGAAAACTGTTTCTGCGTATCATCTAGGCCCACAGGGAGAAAAATTACTAAAAGCCTAAGCTACCTGTAATATTTCAAAACAAAGCTACAATTGATTTATTTTATGTATGAATGGATTTTACATTTCATTTAGTAAGAGTGCTTCCTGGATCACTGAAAGAGGGTCTTTTTGTGCATGTTTTTGTTCAGCTGAAGTTTAGTTAAAATTTCAGATACCTAGTAAAAGTTTCACACTCTTGTACTATAACTTTCAGTCCTTAAGTTACAAATAACAGAACTTTAAACAGCTTAACACCACAATACGCAGATTGCTAGGAAAGCAAGCTGTTTCCCCGGCTGTTTCTAGAGTCCAGTGTGCTGGGAACAGCAGCACGGGAACCGCAGTGCTGGAAAGTGCCTTTTCTGTCCCGAGGCGACTAGAGAAATAACTTAGCCATGGTGTAATACCTGAAAGAACAATTTCCTGCAGGAAGCTGGTGCTGAACAATAATTAAGCCACTTGCAGCCACTTTATGGCCTCCAAAAAAAATCCTTGCTGAAATACAGCAGTTAAAAACAAGTCAGTAAAACTTATTATATTCTCTGTGTTACAATGGTATTTACTGTATCACACAGCTGATGGATTCCTAACACTAAGTGCTCCTCCTGGGAGAAAAGTTACCATCATTCTCTAGTATGAACTTAAATATTGAGAAAAATAGAAGCAGTTTTAGCATTCCAAGTCACGTTCAGTACTAGAAGGGAGCAAACCGAGTGAAGAAGTGATATTAGTAAAAGCTAAAAGCATTCTGGAAGTGTCACCGTAGTATTTTGGACATAAAAATACAGGGGTTTCTGATGTACCATAAACTACACACTGCGAAGGTGACTACGTCCACAGACAGAACAGCTGGCAGGTTGCTCCTGTTTTACCGTTCATGTTAGGTCAGTCAGAGAGGAGTAAGTCACACACATTTATTTCAACCGTCGTTATCCAGGATTAATCAGCCTGCTTGCTAGTAGTTAGAGTCCAAGGTACTGTTTTCTAATCAAAGTTAAACTACAGTGGTTAATGCAGCAACCGTACGGCAGGCAGGCGGCTACGAAGCGATGAACGGGATGCTAGGTTAGTTTCTAAGCGGCACGTTTGATTACTGTGGGGCCGGCACGTTTCCCACAAAGTTTTGCAAGTGTACATTACCTCAGAAGATCAACTTTTTGCTGCAGTTCAGCGCACATGCTTTGTAAGCCGTGCGTCACTGTATTCCTCTCCTCTTCATGGAAATGCATGTTATTTGGGTGAACCAGATCAGCAGCTTTTTCCTTCAGCTTTCTGTTGGGCTCTTGCAGCTCCCTCTTTTCTGCTGACATTTCTTTCACCATGCTTTGGGCATGCTTGTCTTGTTGACCTGTAAATACGGCGGCATGTTCTTCCAGCTTCCCAAGCTGGCATCGCAGTCTTAATTTGGCACTGTGTGCATCTGCGTTTCCTTGTGCATCTTGTTCTTGGACATCTTCCAATTCTTTAACTTTTTGGAGGAGCTGTGTGTTTTCCTCTCTGAGCGTAATACTTTCCAGTTTACTTTCTTCTAGTTTGCAATGAAGGCTTCTCAGCTTACGCAGGTTGTCTTCTAGCACTTTATTTTTTTCAACTAACTTTATCATTTCAGATTTCAGATCCTCATTTTCTACCTGAATTTCTTCTTGTAGTGACAGAAGTTTAGCCTGTGCCATTGATCTGTCTTCTAACTCTTCGACCCTTTTCCAAAGCTGAGCTATTACCCTTTTCAGGTCACCATTTGTTGACCCAGGAGCATGATCAAGCTGGAGAGAGGCTTCACTCAGTTCTTCAGCCTTCTCAAGCTCAACCTGCAGCTTCAAAGCATCAGAAACAAACCCTTTCTTTTTGGGAGCTATTCTGTGATTTAACAGATGAACCTTCTGCTGTTTAACATTGTTGTGTAGCATTTTTGGTCTGGGAACCCTCTCAAGAGTTTTCTTGAGATCTCTCTTTTTTTGCAGCAGAGGCACCCAAGAAAGCAGCTCTTGATTCTTGTCACAATCCTGATGGCCATCAGCTTCCAGCGCTGCTTTACTTCCTTGCATCTGACACACCTGCACCTTGAGTGCATGGCCATCGGCTCTGGCTTTAGCACATGCTTTCTCCAAATCTGAATCACTCTCGGTCATGTCTTCCAGCTCTGTAGTATCAGCCTCCAAAAGCAGAAGGACATGCGAATCTGTTCCCTTGTCTGCATCTTTACAATCGCTGGGCAACCCTTCAAAAATGGGAACTGTTTCATCTGGCAGCTGAGATCCTTCTGAGCCAGAGCAGCCAGGACTGGGAGGTTGCACAGGCTCCCGCTCCGCAGCTTGCAACCTGTGCTGCAGCCTGAGGATCTCGGCAGCCATTCTGACATTTTCCTTCACAGCTTGCTCATGCACTTTCTGCAGATTTAAGAGGACATCTGCATCACCTCCCAGAGGCGCCATGCCAGAGAAAGAAGCGATTTTGCTCTTTGCTTTTGCATACTCATTTTCCAGGACCCTATAATGATTTTGTAGTGCGGAAAAACTATGGGTCTCCCACTGCAATTTCTGTATTTTCCCTTGAAGGTTTGAGATTTCCAAACTCATCTCGGCCTTCTCTGTTTCTGCTCTTACACAGATGTCTTTGTTTAAACTCTCCAAAGCAAGAAGTTTGGAATTGAGTTCTTCTTTCTCCTGCTTATATTCACTGTCAAGCCTCTCCAGCTTTTGCCTAACCAGCTTCCCATCTTCCTCCACCACGGATATATGCTCTTCTTTGTTCTTTAGCTCTTTTTTGTGATCATTTTGGAGTTCTGTTATTTTATCATTCAGCTTTTTCTCTTGCTTCTCAGCAGCATTCCTCAGGTCTCGCAGCTCGTTCTCAAGCTGCTCTCTCTCGCACACAAGCTTGTTCACTTCTTCCTTGAAGTTTTTCTCCAGAAGATCTTTCTCCTGGGTCAGGGCAGAAGAAACAGCCTTTTCCTTTGCCAGATTTTCCTTCAGTTGCTCATGAGCTTCAGCAACCTCCTGAGCAATTTCATCCTTTTCAAACTCCCACTGAGATTTCTCCTCCCTTTGCTGTTCGGCAAGTTCATGTAACTCTCGCTGGTAACGTCCTTCCAGTTTTCGGATCATTTCTTCGTATTTATTCACAAGTGTTTGTGTGTCGACAGAAAACTGAGTTTCTGCATGAGATGCTCTTCTGTTATAGTCACTTTCCATTTTTTTCCTAAACATGGTTAACATAAAATATTACTAAACTCTGGGCTAACTCAGAAAGAGACTCAAATGGCTTTTTAGGCTGAATAAAACAAGCTGAAAATTACTTTTCCACTAGTTTTAGACGAAGTACTATTTGACGGGTGTTTCTGAGAGCCAAAGTTAAATTTCAGGCAATTTGTTGAAACTTCAAAAATAAAAATCTAATTGCCTTGGAAAAGTGTAACTCCTGAAGTGTCCTCAGAAAAGGTTTCGTGTACAATATATGCCCTTCTATACAGATTTGTGGGGGCAGATGTTCTTACCCCCGTCTCTCCCTGACACCCCAGGATGGTTTCAGTTTCTTTTGACACTCGATCTTGGCTAAATGCATTTACCAGCCACCCCTTTACCTCTTCAGAAGAGAACTCTGAAAACCCAAAAGCTTTAAAAGTACAAAGCAGGGATTTGTAAAGCACACTGATCCTGAACAGAGCTCAAATTAATCACGTCTGGTTATGCTTTAACACTATCGTTGCCTCTGGGTGAGCTAAAAATCAATATAAATATCTGCTTGAGAAAGGTCAGAAGAAAAAGCCCCTGGATAGCAGCCCAATGTTCTGGAATAAAACAGGTCACAGCCCTGTACAATTAGTACACTTGAATTAAGCATCGGGGTCATTTCTGCACTAGGTTCACCTTGGTCACCACGCCAAGCCATGAAGGTCAGCATACACCACTAGTGTCCCCGCCAGCGGTGACACTCACCTTTCCTCCTCCAGGTCCTGCTCGTGCTTCCTCAGCAGCTCTTGTTGGAGCTCTTCCTTCTCCAGGGCATGCACCTCTGCCATCCTTTTTAGCTGCTCATGAAAGCCACGTTCCAGCTCTCCCTTCTCTTCCTGCAGTGTCTGCACTAAAACTCTCATCTTTTCTTCCACCCAGACACCGTTTTGAATCAGTTCTTCCCGTTCTTGACTAAACTTCTCGTTTACCTGCTCCAGCCTGGCTCTAACATCTTCTTCGTGCTCCTGCCTCAATAGTTCCTGCAAATTGGCTTTTTCCTCATCGAAACTCGTTTTTAATTTGTTTTTCTCATCCTTATGTTTACAGTCAAGCTGTTCTTGCTGTTCTCTGAGCAGTGCTGCCTCTCCTTGCAGCTCTGCAATTTGCTTTTTAAGGCCAGTTATTTGCTTTTCCATGACATGTATCTCTTCAGTATACTTCTTCCTCATATCCTCTTGCTCCTTTTCACTGTGGATTTTTGTCTCATCTAGCTGCTTTTCGTAATGGCTCACCTACAAGAAGGAAAACAGATTGGATTGGTTCATTTTCTACAGAATGTTCTACAGAGATGTTTTCTTAACATTTCTGTATTATAGATTTCCATATATTCTACAGAATATTTTGATTTACACATTGGCATCCTATATTGATTTCCCCTGCAAAGAACGCTAAAGTGCTCAGCTTAATTTCTTACTGGGATAAAGATGATTATTATGTAGAAGCTGGTGAAATTCATGCTTTTCCATTAAGCAAATTTATGAAAAAAGAGAAGCCACTAACAGCTTCTAAGTCCTTAGTCAGTTTTGCAAATTGCAAAACTCTTTTTTTTTTATTTCACTGATCACTTTTTCAAAATCTTCCCCAAATTACAAGGCAGACAAGGCCTGCCTTTTTTTTTTTTTTTTTTTTTTTAAACACACAAGTGCCATGAGACAAACCCTTAAGAAAAAGGAATGATTTTGGGGTAATATTTTATCAGTCCCCTTTTCCCACTCCCATCCCAGCTTCGTCACAACACAGTTTCAGTGTACCTGTGTTATGCCACAGGTGAAATGAATAGATTATAGTTATATAATAATTACAATTATACAGCCACCTCTCATCTGGAGGTGGGCACTGCTCTGACAGATGCAGAAGCAGACTGACAGGACCCCGACTTCTGGGGTCGGGGCCAGAACAAGCCTGGCCATCTCTACCCCAGTGCACTTCACCTGCTGAGCAGGGCAGGTCTCACCCGCTTAGAAACACCGTGACCAGCGACACCACCGACGCAGATCATAGAATCATAGAATCATTAAG